TTCGGGAAGGGGCCTTGGAAGTTTGGGGGGAGGGGGGGTTGGGACTGAGAGGGGGATGTCCGGGGGAAGTTCTGCTGCATGGTAGGGGAGGGGGAGTTGGAGAAGGGGGTGTGCATGGGGGAGGATCCGGGCATGGCCTGTGGGAAGGATGGTGGGGGGTTGTTGGGGAAGTTCTGATGTTGTTGGGTCATGTTGGCGTGCGCGGGCATGCCCGGGAAGCCGGGCTGCTGCATAGCGACAGACGACGGAGGTTGGAAGTGGGGCTGGGCACCTGATGATGGCGGGAAGCCAGGTGGAACACCTGATGCAGACGTAGGGGGAAAGCCCGGAGGCATGGAGGCTGTACTGGTGGGCAGCTGCATGGCAGGTGACGAGCTCGGGGGGAACCCTGGCTGCATCGGAGAAGAGGATGGTGGGAAGTTAGGCGGGACGGCTGGGGACGAGGTAGGGGGGAAGTTAGGCGGGACAGCCGGGGACGAGGTAGAGGGGTAGTTAGGAGGGACAGCAGGAGAGGACGTTGTGGGGAAGTTGTTCTGGACGGCAGGGGAAGAGTTCCGAGGGAACCCCTGGGGTAGGGATGGGGAGGAGGTACTCGGAAAGCCCTGCTGGATGGAGGGGGAGGGGGCGCTGGGGAAGTGTTGTGTACTGGGAGATGCCATCCCCCCTGCCCCTGCCATGGACGGCGAGGCAGACATGTTGGGGGAGGCAGACAGAGCCGGGGACCCGGCGGACAAAGCTGGCGATCCCGACATGGCGGACTGCGGCGAGGGCAGCGGAGGGACGGTGTGGAGTCCCGCCGCGTCCGCCTGCTGGTTGGACTTGTTACGCTGCCGAGCTCGCGAGCGGTCGCGGCGCTTGGCCGGCTTTTTTGGCGGAGGCTGTTGTTGTTGTTGCTGCTGTTCTTGCTGCTGCTGTAACATCCCGGCCTGCTGCAGCATGTTTTGCAGGGCGCCCGGGGAGGCCATGTTACCCTGCGGCAGCAACCCGCTCTGCTGCAGCATGGCCAGCTGCTGCTGCAGGTTTCCCTGCATGCCACCCTGCTGCAGAAAAGAAGACAAAATGTTTACAATTATAAAGAAGTGACAGTCCTGGTAGCAATGCACTGTGATTTTCTGTCAAAACCAAAAAAAGTTTCTATGCAACATTCAATAACACACTTGAAACACAAAATGCACTGTAAGGGTGATTGCTCCTTTATTGTACAAAAAATGTAATTCTCATAGAAATTTCATTAAAAAAAATTATCATATTCCCTATGTTGAATTAGAGAAACTCTCTGATCATGTACACATGTATGATATACAAGACCTGTTCTTAATTGTACATGTATATATTATTAACTTAAAGTTAAAAATACACTGAATACAGAAGCTATGAATTTCAAAATGTAAACCATACAACTACTGTTACATAGTAATGTCCTTAATTTGAATAACTATCAATACATGTATGTCACCAAGGTGCTTTTTTAAAACTCTTCTTGTTTATTCTAAAAATCGCATGATAAGTAATGTGTTGTCTATCTGCTCACCTGCATGAGAGACTGTGTAGTACGTGATATTGCTAGTGAGATGTTGGCGTTCTCCTTACCTGCATGAGTGACTGTGTAGTACGTGATATTGCTAGTGAGATGTTGGCATTCCCCTCACCTGCATGAGTGACTGTGTAGTACGTGATATTGCTAGTGAGTTGTAAAATGGCTAAACGAAAATAAGTTGCTGTTACATGTACATCCTGACAAGACCAAATCGATGCTCTTCGGGCTCCCTCAGAAATTGAGGCATGCTGGGACATCCGTCAACATAACAGACGGTGTGAACGTATATAAGCAAGTTGACTCGTTCACCTACTTGGGCATTACTCTTGACCCATCACTCAGGTGGGCAGCTCATGTGCACAGAATCACGAAGAAGCTTCTTAGCGGACTCGGAGCCATGGGGCGTGCTAGAGCCTTTGTTACAAAGGAAGTTCTGCGTACCATGTACCAGACACTATTACTGTCTCATCTGGAGTATTGTGCCACAGCATGGCTGCCAAGTCTTGTACAGAGCAACAAGACTCTTATGTCACAGCTGGACAGACTGGTCAACCGAGCTGCAAGGCTTATTACAGGTCACAAACTCCAGGACCATGTCTCAGCGGTTAACCTGCGAGCTGAGGCAGGGATAGATTCTGTGCGCAAACGAACAGAAATTACAACTCTCGTTAATGTCTTTAAGGCGATTCGTGGAGGTGCGCCGGTGTACATGTCATCTCTGTTCAAGTGGGAGACTGCTCCAACATTAAGTGTACGGACTACTCGGTCAGAGTTAAAGCGTCTCAATGACTACGACCCTCACCTACTCTGCTGTCCACCAGCAAGAGTCACGGCGTACAGGAGCAGTCTACAGTACTATGGTCCTTACCTGTGGAACACTCTTCCGATACAGCAACGACAGCTCCTTAGTCTCAGGACTTTTAAACAGAACATTAGAAGCAGGACTTCTCAGGATTTTTAAACAGTTCATTAGGAGCAGGACTTCTTAGGACTTTTATTCAGAACATTAGGTGCAGGATTTTGACACTGTTGATGTTTAGGATGTTGTAATTTAGTAATAGTTTATGTACTGTGTATTTGTTGTGTGTACTTTTATGTGTATCCAGGATTACCTGAAAAACAGGCCGGGATGGCCTGAGTTGTAATTACTGGTTAAATAAAATAAACTGAAACTGAAACTGAGATGTTGGCGTTCCCCTCACCTGCATGAGTGACTGTGTAGTACGTGATATTGCTAGTGAGATGTTGGCGTTCCCCTCACCTGCATGAGTGACTGTGTAGTACGTGATATTGCTAGTGAGATGTTGGTGTTCTCCTTACCTGCATGAGAGACTGTGTAGTACGTGATATTGCTAGTGAGATGTTGGCGTTCCCTGAGATGTCATTCTGCAGCAGGTTGACCAGCAGTGGGCTGCTCTGGGTCACATCCCTCCCCTGCAGGTTAGGGTCTCCCCCGCCGGCAGATTGGGCCAGTCCGGCATTGTGCAGGAGGTGGTGGACTGGAAGCCGGGTCGCGCCACCTCGCACCTGCATGGAGGGGAGCATCTGTAGAGATGCAATCGAAAAAGTCAGAAATACAAAGTACAAGAGCAGTGATGGTCACAGAGATGTGTTATCAACATGTTCCTCTAAAATGTGCACTATACACATATGTACTATCATGAAAGTTTATCTGTGTTCTTGGTAGCTACATGTTTAGAGTTAAAACTTTAGATCCAACACAAAAAGTTCTCTCACCTAGAGCTTTCGACCAGTCACTCTGGTCTTCCTCAGTAGACTGACCCAGTGAGGCTTGTCATCGTCTACCGGATACCTTTGACCCAGTGTTGACGTCACACTTCAAAGAAGCCACATGACAAGCTTCACTGGGTCAGTCTACTGAGGAAGACCAGAGTGACTGGTCGAAAGCTCTAGGTGAGAGAATTTTTTTGTGTTGGATCTAAAGTTTTTTTTTGCTTACGACATTGATTTACGGTAAACGATGCTGTTTTGACGCTTGGTTGTTCTGTAACTTTATGTATTGTTTAATGTGTTGGTTTCATTGTTTTCATGTGTAACTTGTTGTCATGTACAGGGCATTCCTGAAAAGCAGTGTTTTTAAATAGCACTGAGGTTTCTACCCTGATTAAATAAAACAGAAATTAAAAAAAATAAATATTTTTTCTGTTCTCACCTGTCCCTGCATGGGGCCGGGTGGTCCTTGGTTTCCCGGGAAACCGGAGCTACCATCAGGATGAAAACCAGGGGGGAAACCTCGGGGGAAGTTCTGGGGGGTCGGAGGAAAACCAACCTGGTCTGGGGGCCCTCCTGGAGAAAACAAACCATTCATACAGTTTTTCACAAACTACAGAAGAATGCATATCTAAAACAATAATAACTAAATTCTCAATAAATAAAATCCAGCTTTCCATTGAAAGTTGTTGGGTATACATTTTGTACATGTTACTGTTACTGTGTACTGGTTTGCTTGACTGGTTCCGGACTTGTAAAAATGTTTAGGTTCAAGTCCAAAAAAACCTAAAAGAACTGTTTCTGGACTTATTACAAAAAAAAAAACATGTCACATACGTACCCCTTTTCTTTCCAAACCACCTAAAACCCAACATAGATTGCAAACTGTGCTGCAAAATGAAGAAAAAATTGCCATCGGGCATCGTCAAGTGTTGGCCTCCTTGTTACATGTATGTAGCCGCAGTTTTGCCCATACAACATTGCAAGGTTGCCAACATGCAATTTTGTATATGCCATGGGTTAAGGTCAGACTTACATGTCCGGAACTGAACCTCTGGACTTGAATCTGGACTTGAACCTAAATGTGGGTTTAGGTACACAGCACTGCTCATTTCAAATTTTATTTAGAAGCTAAATTTTGGCATGTTGGGGGCTCAGTTGAATAAAGCTGCTAAAGCTGCTTTTACTTGCAATGGTGGAATGTAAACTTGTGAATGTCCACAAATTGCATAGTTCATTTTTCCTTTCAACCAGTTGTGTGGCTGATAATAACATTTAATTTAAAAATAAGAGTTTTCAGGCTTCTGGGAAGTATGACATTGTGTTTCAGTGAATGTATTGGAACTGTATTGCATGATCATTGAGAAATACCTGATTGAATTAAATCATAGTATGTACACGTATTTGATCATGTAATTGTATGTACATGTAGTAGTGCAATGTCATGTAGTATGGTTAATCTTTCTCTGAAAAAGACAGCTAAAGTTGAATTGGCAGGCTTGTTTGCAGACACATGATGACAGCACAGTTGTGTTACCTGTACGTGGGGTCATGTGGCTTAGCGGTTAGTGTCTTCAGACCGGAACCAAGAGGTTTCGGGTTCAAACCCCACCTTGTCACCTTGGGAAAGGCACTTAACACGACTTTCCTCACTTTACTCAGGTGGAAATGAGTACCTAGCTTTGGTTAGGGACGTCCCTCGGATAGGACGTTACATGGAGGTCCCGTGTTTGGGAGAGCCACACCCCACGAAAGTTAAAGAACCCACCACACCTTTTGAAAAAGAGTAGGGGCATGCCCCGGTGTGCGATGGTCCAAATACTATTTGATTATTCACTATGGACTCCAGGAAGAGTAGTGTGAAATTCACACTGATAGAGATCCTAAACAAACAAACAAACAAACAAACAAACAAACCTGTGTTAGAAGGCACCTGCTCAGGTCTGAAGGGCAGCTGGTCCTGTGGGGGCCGTACAAACCCACCTGGTGACGGCATCGGCATCCTGAAATATATTAACACATGTTAATTGTAAACAGAATATTCTTCTAAAAGGACTTTTCCACACTTAGCTTGCTCTATATGTATAGCATAAGATTTCTATAGAATTGGGATACACATTGTTTTTCTATTGCAGACGAAAACACTTAAAACAATGTACAACAGGTTTAGTGAACTTGAGTGACATTTTTTTGTGGTTGTGCCAGAGTGTAGCAAGTACTACCAGCAACATGGTGTGATTTTCTTTAAAATGTTCCCACTTCTTGGTACATGATTAATATATCTATTAAATGTTTCAACTATCTGTGCTATGAAATGATTATTAGTATGTACAGTATTGATATTTGTCTTCATATTAGTGTCCTTTATTGGGTGACAACTTCAAGATATCGAGTATCACAAGTATACTTACTAGTTCTAATGTCTAAACATTTACCTACAAATTTTGCACATAGTTTGTGCTTTTTAACCTGCATTTCCCCTCTAATCTCTCACTCTCAGTCGCTGACGAAAGCTAGTGAATACTAGCTGAAATGTCTAACCATTTCCAAAATCATATTCAGTTGCTTGAGTAACTGATTTTTGGCATTTTGCACAGTAAGGGCTATATATTACCTTCTTGAATGAAATTAAATGTATTTGAGCATAGTGATGCATTATAACCTAAACCCAAGTTTAGGTTCAGCTCCGGATTCAAGTCCAGAGGTTTAGGTTCAGTTCCGGACTTAAAAGTCCGGACCTAAACCCATTGGCATATACAAAATTGCATGTTGGCAACCTTGCAATGTTGTCTGGGTGAAACTTTGGCCACATAACATGGAGGCCAGTACTTGACGATGCCCGATGGCAATGTTTTCTTCGTTTTGCAGCAAATATTTTACAATCTACGGAAGGTTTTAAGTGGTTTGGAAAGAAAAGGGGTATGTGAAATTGTCTTTTATGGTAATAAGTCCGGACTCGGTTCTTGGCTTATAGGTTTTTTTGGACTTGAACCTAAACATTGTTACAAGTCCGGATCCAAGTTCAGTGAACCGGTATGCATCACTATTTGAGCAAGTACTGAAAGATAGATAGAAAGATAGAAATGACCACACCGTGACCTGACCTGTTCTGAGGGCCCATCTGCTGTGCAGTGAAGCTGAAGGCAGGCACCTGGGCAGCTGTAGGAGGGCGGATGTTCCCTACAGGTGAAAACTGTCCAGGTATCATACCTTCACCTGGCGAAAATAAACATGAAAAAAAGGTCAAGCTCTAGTTTCTTACTTTTCTGACTGGTACTCTCACTTCATCTTTGTCATGCAGTTAAGCCTACTTAAGGGTTTATAATTTTGTAATATTTTGCAAGACAGTGCATAAAAAAATTGCATAGTGATAGCATATTTAACCATATACATACATGTACATGCAGAGCTTGAAACCGATGTACATGTACTGGGTTTATAATATAAATACAACTGTATGTGTTCATTTACCAGCATTGTTATGAAGCATAGAAAAAACAATGGCAATCATGGTTTCTGAACAGTTTTTAGTATGATCCATACTTTCTAATTTCTGAGTGGTGGAGCTAAAATGTGTCTGGTGCAGGTTATTTTCATTATATCATACCCGGGCCGCGATAACATTCGATAACGGGTTACGGATCGGGCCGTACTTTACGGTACAGCCCGGTCCGGAACCCATTATCGAACGCTTCCTTGGCTTCCATAAATGGAATCGAACGTGTTTCGCCCTAACCGCGTGTGCCCCTTTTGAAAGTTCGAATACAGAATCCGGACGTTGGAATTGATGTTGTTGCATTTTAGGGTTTAGCGGCACCAACTTTTGGCTCATCTTGCTTTTTTTGCATTGAAAGGCGTGTTTTCTTGGGTGGGTATGACATAAATAAAATACAACACGGTGTATTCCGCATTGCCCGCAGTCCCAACCCTCCCGCGGATCGGATCGCCCTCCGGCCTGCGGGCGATCCGACCCGCAGCCGGGCCGATACCTCGGGCGATACGGAATACCCCGTGTTGTATTCCACATATATTACATGTATTTGCACCAGTGCAGGTAAAGTGTGTAGAAAAAGGATTCCCAACCCTCCCATGTCCCATGATAATAAGAACCCCACCCTCACCTGGAGTGACCTGTCCCCCTGGGGAAGTGGCCCAGGCAGGGCGGGGGACCCCCTGGGGGGACTGCTGAGGGAACTGGGGGGTAGCGGTGGAGGGGAGGCCGGGTGCCAGGGGGGGTCCTGTCATACTGATGGGGGGAGGGGTGTTCAACACTACCTCCTGGTGACCTGGAAAGTGAATAATTATTGAATAAATGAAAGACCTTCATTGTACATTTGTGCTCTAACGAACTAAGTACAGGTCATGGGTAAACAGGGAAAAGAATACAGCAATGACACTTACATACTATACATACTAATGTGATCTACTATTTACAGGTTCAACTTCTTCTCACTTCTTGACGCAAAGATGTACGAACATATTGAGAGAATGATACATGGTTTGTCAAGTTTCATGAGGAATTCGAATTTTTCTATTCTATCTACATGTCTAAAGCTTGGGAACTTATCTATTATAGAGTCAACTGCAACTAAGTTGAAGGCACGTTTTTAAACACTGTATATTAAGAACTTCCACAGTGGTTTTATTTTGTAATAGCAGGGAAACTGTTCCCTAGTGTTTGTAATTTACGGCTTAAACAATTCTATACAAAAGTACTTTTGTTCAAACATAATGAAAAAGGTACCAAAATTTGGTGTCCCTAGACAAAAAAATTGTAGAACCCGTATCTAGTATTCAAAATCAAACTTTCAAAAACAGTGCACACGCTTCACGTATGTACATGAAACCAGTGTTCTAAATACCTGATTGTGCAGTTATCATTCACCACAATTTAATATGTATCAAATTCTGTGTGGTATAAATAGATGACCTTAAAATGAGCCTAAGTTATTCTATACTTACAACAACAAAATCAGGAGGGCAACCTAAATTTCAGATTTGCCACATAGTTTTTGGCTTGAGTAGCACACCTGGCTCCAAAAATGTATTTCGAATACTGAATACTAAATATAGGAGGATGAAGCACTTATGGGCTCAAAATTCATTTTTGGGAATAGGTGCACTGGTGACAGAAGTTCACGGTACAGAAGTGACAGTGAAAACAGTGAACATAACGGTACTGTGAAAAAATCAGGAATTACAGTATTTTGAGCCCTGAGCACTGACCTTCCACCTGCACAGCGAGGATGCCCAGGTCGCGCAGCTGCTGGTTGCGTGTCTCTGCCAGCTGCTGCAGGCGCTGCGCCGCGCTGCGCGGGATGTTGAAGGTGACACGAACACTGTTCCATGGCTGCACCCGGGATACCTTCACTTCCTGGTCACCTGCAGGACAACATGTCACAAGTAAGGACCAGAAAAAATGGTGTGTCCTGAAAACTAGAGTTCCACAACCTCATACCTTTGCCAAATTAATACCTTACAACTGACAAATTATGTTTCTAAATTCTTATTGACAATACAAATAAGATCATTTGCCTGTTGTGAATAATATATATCATGAATTACATGATGAAATATCAACCTAATGACAGTCTTATCCTAACAAAGAAGGCCATTGTAACATTTCCCCATATATTATGCAAATGCTAAAAGACTGAGGTGAGCTTACAAGATGAGGTGTATATATATCAGTGTTCTCACCATAATTCTTCTACAGTATAGGAGTCAGATACAGAAGGACATCTTTCTAAAGTGCAAGACACATATTGAGTCCTTAAGACATGACCACAGTAGGGATCAGGTATTCTTCCCAAAAATGTTAAAACTCATACATGTAACATCCGTGTCCATAATATCACCAGGTTCCATAAAATCGCCACCTTGAGAAATAGTGTGCTTAAAGATATTTTTACTGCATCATACTTTTGGTATGCACTCCTTCACACATCAAATGTACATGTAGGGTATGTTGCGGTAAAAATATCTTTAAGCAAACTTTTTCTCAAGGTGGCGATATTATGGACCCTGGTGATATTATGGACACAGATGTTACACACATGTAACCCTCAGATACTTTTTAGGGGGCAGTGCAGTGTAGTTCAGATATTCACTGGATCAGGACTTGTGGTCCGTAAGTAATATTGTCTCCATTAGAAAAATTTATGGGAAAAACTGCTCCACTCAGAGAAGAGAAAAAACACAACGTCAACAATACCTTTCTGTGCCATTTGTTGTAGCCATGTGGAGATGGCGTTGAGGCGGTGTGGCAGGTCGGCATCTCCGATGTTCCCGCGTACGGTCAGCACCGCGGGAATGTTGGCATTCTGCCAGGGGCACGGCTGCTGGAGCCCGCCCACGGGGTCAGCCATCAGGAGC